ACATGAGATGTTAGAGCTAGAAAAACTCTTAGAACAAAGAAGACCAGAACATCGTATGAAGGAAAGAAACTAGGATGCAGACGCTCCAATGAGGTTTCTTGTTTCTATGCCCCTTAAGAGACTCTGGCTGGTCTCGTGGTCCAGACCATTCCCCAGAGGTTCAGCTTATTTTGATGCACAGAATCAGACTTAAGTTGGAAAGAACCTTTAGAGACCATTTAATTCAATCTTGCCCCAGGGTCAGGGAGTAGGCTACCTCATGGGCAGCCTCTTATATAATAAGAAAGTCCTAATTGTAACCCAGCCTGCATCATAGTGAGCCAAAATCCATCTCCCTTTGGGGCTACAAATAATTAATTTCAGCTCTCATGTACATGAAAGCAGTGCAAATAATGGAAGACAGCAATCACAACCCCCCTTATCTTGGTCTGGGGACTTCTCTCATTTCAGCTCCCAGACTGAACTAAATATTTCCCCTGCTCTTCTAGGCCAGCAGATATTTGAACTCACTCAGCCTTATTCTCCCCTCTCACACTCCCCTGATCATGTCCTAAGGAATACATAACCATTTGTCAGATATGTTTCTGGGAGCTTCATTTCATGTATGGGCTGGACTCAGTGGCCCTTGAGGTCTCTTCTAACTCTCAAATTCCGTGATTTTTATCAATGGTTTTCATTCCTTTCCCCATTTTGTTCCTCTTCTCAAGACCCTTTCCAACTACCCCTGATTTTTAGTCACAATATGCCCAATGAAGAGGCAGAAATTCTGACAGAGTCTAGTAATGAGTGATTTGGATAGAGACATCATAGCAGCATCTGCCATGGGGATGAGCTTAACTGGAATTCAAAGGTCTCTTTGGGGAAAAGTGTGTGAATAAAAACGGTGGAGGGGGACAAGCAGCCCATCAGTCCACAAGCATTTATCAGACTCCACTATGTGCCAGACATAGTGCTGAGGTCTGGGTATACAAAGAAAGGCAAAGACAGCACGTACCCTCAAGGAGCTCACAGTCTAATGGGGGAGACAACATGTACCTACAAAAACAGGTACATACAATATACATACAGAGTAGATGGAAGGCACCCTAAGAAGGGAAGGTGCTAGCAGCTGGGGGGACCACAAAAGGCCTCCTGTGTAAGTTATGTCCCACCCCATCTGATCTAGACAAACATGGGCTGGAGGTCAGAGACTGGATCTTGGAAATCACTGTTATCTTACCTAGTATCCAGAACTGTGTTTTGCACACAGAAGGTACACAATAAATATTCCTTTGAATGAATGAAATGCAAGTAGGGATCATTTCATTCTTTTTTACTCATATTCCCAACACCAACACAGCCTGGGACACAGTAAATACTTATTGGAGGATTGAAACCTAGAAAAATCTTGTTTCCATAACATGTCTTTGGAAATCATTAGACCCTGAGTCAAATGCTGCTTATAATTATGAGATCTGGAGGTGGAAGGAACCTTAGTGAGCAACCATTCATCTGAAAAAAGACCTGGGGGTTTTAGAGGACCACAAGCTCCAACACGAAATCAACTGGGTAGTACTCTAGTCAAGTACTCTAAGGAGATCTTGGGCTGCATTAAGGGAGTCACGGCGTGAAAGAATAAGGAGGCGATCTAGTTCCTTGTTCTCTGCCTTAGTCGTAAAATAGCTAGAATCTTGTGTTTATTTATTTATTTTTTTTGAGGCAGTCAGGGTTTAGTGACTTGCCCAGGGTCACACATCTAGTAAATGTCAGAGGCTAGATTTGAACTCAGGTCCTTCGGACTACAGGGCTGGTGCTCTATCCATTGTAACAACTAGCTGCTCTTTGTGCTCATTTTCATAAAAGACATCGATAAGCTGAAAAGGATGCAGAGGAAGGCAACCTGAATGGTGAAGAGTGTCAAGTTCATGCCGTACAAGGAAGTCTTTGAAGGGACTGGGGGTATGGAGAAGACTCAGGCTGTGTGAGGGGCCATGTCAGGGGTCCTCAAACGCTTGCAGAGCTGTCAGTTTGTTTTGCTTGACCGTACATATTTGTTACAAGAGTTGTGTTCTTCTTCTTTTCGGTGGCAGAGGGAGATAAAGCGAATATTCGTTAATTGAAAAACACAATTAAAGTTTCATAAAAAAAATGGTTACACTTCTTCCATCTGGTCCCAGGGGACAGAACTGAGAGCAAAGAGTGGAAGGTGTGAAGGAGCAAATGTAGCTTTGAATTTAGGATAAACTTTCTTACAATTAGAACAATCTTAAAGCAAAATGGGCTGCTTTGCTATTGGACTATGAGATCCTTGAGTGTTGGGATTGTGAGGGTTTTGTTGTTATTGTCGTTTTCCTTTTTTGCCTTTTGTTGTATCTCCAGAGTTTAAAAGCACAATATTTGGTATCTAGTAGGTGCTTAATAAATGCTGGTTGACTTGACTTGGGAGGCAGCAGATTCCCCCTCACCTGAGGTCTTTAGGTAAAAGCTAGGTCCTTTTTCAGGTGTGGATTGGATCACATGACCTCTGACATTCCTTCTAATTCTGAAATCCTGAGACTTTGCCATTCATCTTGTCTACACCAAGCTACCTCCCTTCCTGGATCCTCCACCCCAAGAAGTGATTTTTTTCCCTTATTGTATTTCAAAGCACTTATCCAACTCTAATTTGTATTCTAACCATCTGATTATATGTCCAGTCATTCATTCTTTTTTTTTTTTTTTTGGTGAGGCAATTGGGGGTTAAGTGACTTGCCTAGGGTCACACAGCTAGTGAGTGTTATGTGTCTGAGGCTGGATTTGAACTCAGGTCCCCCTGACTCCAGGGCCAGTGCTCTATCCACTGTGCCACCTAGCTGCTTCCTCCCCCCCAGTAATTCATTCTTACTACATCGAGTAAGATGTACTTCCTACATTGAGCTCTATGAGACCAGAAAATTTTCGTTTCATTTATCTTGTATCTCTTACGCCTAAGAACTTATAAAATAGCTGTTGAATAAACAAAGAAATCTGTGAAGTCCTTCATTCAACTGAGATGGCCTAGGGGATAGGGTGCTGGATTTGGAGTCGGGAAGATCTGAGTTCAAACTGTATGTCAGACACTTACTACCTGTGTGGCTCTGGGCAAATTACAATAATAGCGCCTACCTCCCAAGGTTGTTTCAAGAATCAAATGAGATAACAGATGTAAAATGTTTTGCACATCTTAAAATGTTTTATATTATTGTTGTTCAATCAAGGTGCAGTGCTTAAGTAGCTCACTCCACTGATCTCCAGTCCTCTCCAGGTCATTAACTAGAGGAGGCAATGCTGGGCTCACTTGCAAGGGAAGGGAATGTGCCTTATGTAAATCTTACGTTGCTTTTCCCAATAAGTACAATGAACTGTACACAAAAGGCATTTAATAAATGCTTATGAATTGATGAGACAGAGCGTTATGATGTCTGAAGATTACTCTGAGATTAACCAATGACTTTTGGTAGCCTGAGAAAACAGATTTCACTTAATTGTATGGTGATTCCCTTAACTCCGAATGTGAATGGGCCAGGGCAGGGAGGTGGGAGGAGTGGACAGAAGGCAAGGTTTGGAGTCAGAGCACCTCGGTTCAAATCCTAACCAGCCAATCCCAGTGGGACTTTGTAATGATTCGATAGTTTCAATATGGCATACCTGAAAAGTAGTCATCCATCTCTTGCTTAAAGGCTCCAGAAGAGGGGGGACCTACAGCTGCCAGTCCATTTCTTCTTAGGGTTGTTCTAGTTATGACAAAGTTTACCTAAAATCACAGCTAAATTTGCCACTTCAAATTGAGAAGCATTTACTCCTAAACGTTGCCTAGCCAATGCTCTCGTGCTCTGGCACCATGCGGAACAAGTGTTTACGCTTGTCTGTGGAAGAGTTATATGTCTTGGGGCAGCTAGGTGGCTCAGGAGCACCTGCCCTAGAGTCAGGAGGACCTGAGTTCAAATCTGGCCTCAGACACATAACACTCACTAGCTGTGTGACCCTGGGGAAGTCACTTAACCCCAATTGCCCCCAAAACAAACAAATAAACCCAAAATTAATTGGAAACCAAATAATCTAATCCTAAATAATGAGTGGGTCAAAAAACAAATCATAATAAAAATAATAATAAAGACAAGTTATATGTCTTCTCTGTGCCTCTGTTTCCATTTATTTTCTGTATGTTTTTAGATATACTTATAGATGGACTGTTGTTCCACCTGATAGAATGTAAGCTCCTCGAGGGCAGGGACAGTTTCATTTTTGTTGTTCTATTCCCATGCTTTTAGCGCATAGTAGATACTTATTTCTGCATGCTTAATACTTAATAATGGTTGACTGCTGTGACAGGTTGGTTTAAATGAGCTCAACCATCTCTTCCAGCTCTTAATCTTAGGGTCCTAGAGCCAACAGAGGCTTAATTAACTGAGGCCTCATTCCTATGCAGATTTGCTACAAGGGCCTCATCTTTCTTTTTCTTTTCAATGGCAGGAGGTGATGGGAAGGAGAAAAATGCTTGTTAATTAAAAAAAGAATTAAAGTTTCGTCAAAAACTGGTTCTACTTGGGAGCAGGGGACAGAATTAAACACGAGTGGAAAGTATGAAGAGGCAAATCTAGCTTCGATTTCAGCATAGACTATTTAAATAGTAACAATAATGATAATAATGAAAATTTATATAGCGCCTACTGTAGGCCAGGCACCACTGTGATAGTAATGAGAATAGCTAACATTTATATAGCACTTGCCATGTGCCAGGCACTGTGCTATGAGCTTTATAATTATTATCTTGTTTGATCCTGGGAGGTCGATGTTATTATCTTCCCCATTCTACAAATGAGGAAACTCAGGCAAACTGACATGAAGTGACTTGCCCAGGGTCAATATCTGAGGCTGCATTGGAACTCAGGTCTTCCTGACTCTAAGCCTAGTGCTCTATCCACTACACCACTTTTTTAGAATCAGAACATTGGGAAAGGGTACATCTGAGTATATCTGGGTATGTGTGTTGGTGTGAATACCTGACAAGGCTCTCCTCCATCCAGCAAATCGATGGCTTCTGCCTCTCAGAAGGGCCCATTGGCAGATGAAGGGTCACCATCATCGTATCTATGAGACCCTCGGTTTGGAGGGATGGCCGGGAAAGGATTGAGTCTGGCAGAAAACAAAAGAAATGGTCATCCATCATAAGACCCAGAACCCAGAACCTAGAACATATCCTAGGGAAGTGGTTGTGACTGAAGAACACTCTGCCTCCATGGGAGCTTTGCATTACAGGAGTTAATCATCTCAATAACGAGGGCAATAAACAATAATGATGATAACAATAGTCATGTTTACAATGTTAGCATGTTTCTTCCTCAAAATAACCATGTGAGGTCACATGAGGGGGTGGCCAATTCCATTTCACAGATGAGAAAACTAAGGATTAATCAATTATTTGTGGCCATACAGCCAATATCAAAGGCAGGATTTGAACCCAGGTCTTCTTGACTCAAGGTTGACCTCTTTGTCCACCATGCTTTTCTACCTCTCACAGCAAAGTGTCTGCCCCAGTATTTTGTCCCCTTGCTCCCCCCTCACCCCCACCCAAGTGTTGCCAAGGACCAGTTAATGAAAAAGGTGGCCCACCCTCTGACCTCCATCAGTTCAATAGATTTTTGAAAAAGAGTATGACACATCTTAATTGGACAAAGGTGTCTTTCCTGCCCCCCCAAGTCCTTGGCTATTAATTAATTCAATCATTAATGCTGTAAAATGATTATTCAACACAGAGGGACAGAGAAGTCAAGGAGAATCAGCATCCTGATAAGGCTGAAAAAAAGATTTAATATTCTTTAAATTAAGGTCCAAGGATCACCCTTATCTCCTCCCCTCCTCCTATGAGACAGGAACCAGGATGGAATTCTCTTGGCATCAGAACTGGATAGGTTTCAGTTAGGATGACTTCAGAATGGTCCTGGACGGGACATAGGAAAGAACATTCCACAGCAGAGTTATTCCAGGCAGCTCAGTTAGTTGGTGCTGGGTCAGCATTTCAAATAAAAAGCTTTAAATGATAGGTTTGGAACCCTTAAATGTTTTATGGGGGCAGACATTTAAGCGTTTATGAGCTTCATTTATGTCCTATTAACCAATTAGTGGCAGTGGAGTTGAGTGGGCAAAAGATCTGGGCTCTTATCTCATCTCTGACTCTTCATTGCCTATGTCCAAAAGCACGTCACTTCACCATTCTGAATCTGTTTTCTCATCTGTAAAATAGGGATAATGATACCTAGTACAGGGTTGGTATGAAGTTCAAATGAGATTTTATTTACACACATATACATGTATATGTATATATATATATATGTATATGTTGTATCTCTCTCCATATGTGCGTGTGTATGTGTGTGTGTATACATACACACATACACACACACACACACACACACGCACATATGGAGAGAGAGAGAGATACAACATATCTCTTAAACAAAGTGCTTACTCTTTATATAGTACTTTGTTAGGAATTGGGGGAGAGAAGTGAAGGGAGGAGGGAATAAGCATTTATATAGTGCTTAATATGTGCCAGGCATTCGTTAAGCACTTTACAGACACTCATTAGATCCTCACAACAAACCTGCAACATAGGTACTACAAAGAGATATGAAGTTCAGCTATGACACAGTTTCTGCCCTACATGTCTAGAAGAGGGAAATGGGACACAAAGAGGTAAGTGTAAGATACAATTCTCTAATTCCCCTATCTCCACCCCTTTCCCCAAACACAGAGTTCTGTACACAGCAGATGCTAAATAAATGTTTGTCAAGGAATGTTAGAGAAGTTGGAAATGAAGAATCAGGTGAGATCATGGGTGGAGGTAGATGAGAGGGCTTCATGAGGAAAGTGGCATTGAGTTGGGCTTTGGAAGAGTGGCTAGAAATCCATCAGGTGAACAAGGGAGGGTATTCTTGGCATAGGGAACACAACCCTATGGACATATTCAAAGGACAGAGTAATGTTTGATTGACCAATGCTCAGAGGGCATTTGGGGAATGATATGAGATGAGGATGGAGAGTAGGGCAGTCCTGAATTGCAGAGGTCCTTGGACTCCAAGGAAATCCTTTTAACTTGCACATAGGAAACAATAGGGAATCATGGGAGATTCTGAGTGGAGGAGTGACCTAAGGAAAAAGATTCTGAAAGCAGGATAAGGGATGTATTGGAGGGGTGAAAGGGAAAGGATGAAAGTGAGAGGACCTATTAGGAGTCTAGTTCAATTGAGGGAATTGAGCTATAGCAGTGAGGACTGAATAACTGAACAAATGAATGAAAAAGCATGTTTTAAGGACTTAATGTTTGCTAAGCCCTGTGCTAAGCAGATACAAATATAAAAGCAAAAAGAGCACCTGCCCTCAGGGAGCTTGCTTTCTTAATAAAAGAAATAAGTACCTAGAGGTGAGTGGTGGCTAGAATTGAGATGGTAGGTCAGAAGAGATAGTATCAAACAGGATTTGGAGACTGATTAGATAATACATCTAGGATAAGGAAAGAGGTAAAAAACAACACCAGGGGCAGCTAGGTAGCACAGTGAATAGAGCACCTTGAAGATACGCCCTGCAGTCAGGAGGACCTGAATTCAAATTTGGCCTCAGACACTAGCTGTGTGACTCTGAGCAAGTCACTTAACCCCATTGCCTCCAAAACAACAACCACAACAACAAATCCTCCAGTATGCTATCTAGGGTGAATAGTGGTGCCACAGACAAACACAGCGAAAATGAACAAAGAAGTAGGTTTAGGGGGGAAAGATGATTCGCTTGATTTTAGGCACGATGAGTTTGAGGTGGAGATGTCCTGAAGGCCTCAGATGTTGGTGTGGAGTTTAAAAGAGAGTTTATAATGGAGACATAAATTTGGGAGCCCACGGCCCAAAGGCGATAGTGAAAGCATGGAAACAAATAAGACTGCCAAAGGGGAATGTATGGAAAGAGGAGCCAAGAGGAATCCTCTCATTATGGGTGTCAGGATGGGGATGAGGAGTCAGTGGAGGAGGCAGAGGAATGTTCAGAGAGGTTGGAGGAAGAGGAGGAGCACGTGACCTCTCAAGGCACCACCTTCTGCATCAGGCCTGGCTCCTTAACTGGGGAGCCTGGGAATTCGTTTTTTAAAAGATTTTGATAAGTGTATTTCGATCTAATTGGTTTCCTTTGTAATCTGATGTAGTTATTTGTTTAAAAACTAAAGAGGGGTTTTACAGGCTTCACTAGACTCTCCGAGAAGTGCCTGCTGCAAAAAAGAGCTGCTGTCCTCCATGAAGCCTTTCCTGATTCCCGCCCCACAACCTCTCTCTGCACAACCTTGGGTTTGTTCCCTCTTCCTGTATTCTGTATTTACTTATCTATGTACCTCTTACTGTCTTCATTATAATACATGCTCTTTGAGATAAAGAATTATTTCATTATTTGTGTTTGCAGCCCCAGCATCCAGCACAGTACTTAGCACATAGGAGCTTAATAAATGCTTGCTAACTGAGTGACCCATCGATTGTAACATCTCTGTCCAAACCATAGAGTTTCAAGACTTTGGTGACTGTCTCTGCACTCATTCAATCCAGGATTATTGCCACTGTTTACCCTTCATATGACCCTTCAAATTTTCCAGTCTTTTTATAGTTTATGTTTCCCCTCCTCTTCCTACCCTCCTCCATGTCCACTTTGATCCAGTGACGCTGACTTCCTTGCTATTTCTCGAACAAGACACTAGCTCTTGGCTCCTGGCTTCTCCCCTGGCTGTCCGCCATGCCTAGGATGCTCTCTCTTCTCATCTCTACCTCCTGGCTTCCTTAAAGTTACAGCCAAAATCCCACCTTCTACAGGAAGGCTCTGCCAGTTCCTCTTAGTCCTCTCTGTTCGTTATTTCCATTTTTCCTGTATATGTCTTGTTTGCATGTTGTATCCTTCCATTAGACTGTGAGCTCCTCAAGGGCAGAAACAGTCTTTTGCCTCTCTGTCTCCCTAGCTCTTTGCACAGTGCCTGGAACATAGTGGGAGCTTAATAAAGGTTTATTGACTGATTGTTCCAAAAAAAAAGGTCTGTCCCTAGCCTCAGTTCACCCCTTCTCCCAAATCAAGAGGAAAACGACAACCAGGAGATGTCCCTCTATTGCTGATCTAGATTTACTTCACCTGGTAGCATCTCTTTCCCTTGGGCTACACTTCTGTAAAGGCAACAAACACTGGATTTGGAGTCAGAAGGGCAGGGTTCAAATCCTCTCTTTTTGACCATAACCTTGGGTATGTTATTTCTTTTCTTCAAGCCTCAGTTTGCTCATTTTTAAAATGAATGGGTTGGATTCTAAAATCGTTGATTTGGAGCTCAAAGGGACTTGAGAAGACATCTCATCTGACATCTTCATGATGAGGAAAATGAGGCTCTGACAGACAATACAGCCTGCCCAAGGTCACCCGGGCAGTAGGTCACGCAGCAGAGCTGGGATGACCTCTATGGTCCTTCTAACTTGAAATCTCGTGACCTAGGTCTGCACCTGGCTGTGTACTTCATGCCTCACAACTGGTTCATTTGGAATTCAAGCTAGCCCCGGACCATTCAATGAGTCCATCTCCAACATGGTGCTTCATCCCTCCCCCATGCCATGATCATCCCCCATGCAAAGTACGGCTCACTGGACATCTGTCCTTTTTGTTTCCCTCCCCCAGGGTGGTGATAGTTGCTTGCTTCAACAGAAGACTGGATGGCTTGCAAGCATGCCCTGGCAGTGACTGGCAAAGCAACCTTATTTGAGTGGAAGTAATAGGCCAGATGGATCATATACGAAGGTCCCACCTGGTCCCTGATGTCCTTTTACCAGAATTCAGTCCTACCCAACTAGACACAGAATATTGCAATTTTTCAAGACTCTTAAGGGGTATGTGTATGTGTGGGTGGGGGTGTGGGTAGGTGTACTGCTTTTATTTCCAAATGAATTATTGATTTATATGACCACGCTTGGTCACAAAGTAGAGATGTGAGAATGTATCTCCTTCCCTTTTTTGAAGGGGAGAGGGGATTATGGATGTGGAATGCTGTATATATTGTTAGACTTGATTAATGTGTGTTGATTAGTTTAGCTAAACTGCTTTTTTCTGTCTTTTAAGAGATTCTTTGTTAT